TTTTTTTCAGTTCGTGGGTCCCCAGAATCTGGGAAAGTGTTTTCCAGGTCTTTTTTATATCTCCTCTTGTGTCAGTGAATCTGCTGTACCTGGAGTTTACCTGGAGAGAGTTCCGGGGGTCAACGCCCCCACGGCCCGGTCTGTGACCAGGCCTCCTGGTGGATCAGAGCCTGATCAACCAGGCTGTTGCTGCTGGCTGCACGCAAACCAACGTACGAGCCACAGCCCGGCTGATCAGGAACTGACTTTAGGTGCTTGTCCAGTGCCAGCTTGAAGACTGCCAGGGGTCTGTTGGTAATCCCCCCTTATGTGTGCTGGGAGGCAGTTGAACAGTCTCGGGCCCCTGACACTTATTGTATGGTCTCTTAATGTGCTAGTGACACCCCTGCTTTTCATTGGGGGGATGGTGCATCGTCTGCCAAGTCTTTTGCTTTCGTAGTGAGTGATTTTCGTGTGCAAGTTCGGTACTAGTCCCTCTAGGATTTTCCAGGTGTATATAATCATGTATCTCTCCCTCTGCGTTTCCAGGGAATACAGGTTTAGGAACCTCAAGCGCTCCCAGTAATTGAGGTGTTTTATCTCCGTTATGCGCGCCGTGAAAGTTCTCTGTACATTTTCTAGGTCGGCAATTTCACCTGCCTTAAAAGGTGCTGTTAGTGTGCAGCAATATTCCAGCCTAGATAGAACAAGTGACCTGAAGAGTGTCATCATGGGCTTGGCCTCCCTAGTTTTGAAGGTTCTCATTATCCACCCTGTCATTTTTCTAGCAGATGCGATTGATACAATGTTATGGTCCTTGAAAGTGAGATCCTCTGACATGATCACTCCCAGGTCTTTGACGTTGGTGTTTCGCTCTATTTTGTGGCCAGAATTTGTTTTGTACTCTGATGAAGGTGTTTTATCTCCGTTATGCGCGCCGTGAAAGTTCTCTGTACATTTTCTAGGTCGGCAATTTCACCTGCCTTAAAAGGTGCTGTTAGTGTGCAGCAATATTCCAGCCTAGATAGAACAAGTGACCTGAAGAGTGTCATCATGGGCTTGGCCTCCCTAGTTTTGAAGGTTCTCATTATCCACCCTGTCATTTTTCTAGCAGATGCGATTGATACAATGTTATGGTCCTTGAAAGTGAGATCCTCTGACATGATCACTCCCAGGTCTTTGACATTGGTGTTTCGCTCTATTTTGTGGCCAGAATTTGTTTTGTACTTGTGAAGATTTTTTTTCCCTATTTTTAATATCTGAGTATTTAAAATTTTATGTTGAACTTCAATTGTTTTCTGCACCCCACTGAAAGTTTTGGGGTGATGTCCGCCTGGACCCTTCAGTGTCTGCAATGGAAGAACGTCATGCGATTCGGGTGTCATCTGAAAAGGAAGACACGGTGTGGGCTGACATCCTTGTCTATGTCGGATTTGGGAGGGAACAAGGGGGAGCGATTTTACTGTGCCTTGTGGAACAGAGCTTTTCACCGTGCTCCTCGGATTTTTTCTCTGTTGGATCTCTCTGTGTTTTTTAGTGGGAAATTATAGACCCTTTTGCCCGCTTTTCCTTATTCCTTTAGCACGCATTTTGTGCGTATTACCCCATGGTCACACTTGTCAAAGGTTTTTGGGAAAGTCTGTATATATTACATCTGCATTCTTTTTTCTTTAGTGATTTGGACCTTGTCGTAGTGATCCAATATTTGAGACAGACAGGGGACCTGTTCAAAAAACCATGTTCCCCTGGGTTGTGTAATGATGGGTTTAGATGGTGGTGATCTTGCTTCTTAGGCCCTTTCAAAGATTTTTTATGGGATGTTTTGTATTGGTCTGTAGTTCTTTCTGTTGCTTTTTTCTGCCCCCTTTGTGGGTGGGGTTTTTTCTGTTGTTTTTATAATGTGGGGTGACCCCCCTGTCCATTCCCTCTCCATGGATGGAAAAGGCTCGTGTATTGGGTTTTAGTTTTTTCTGTTGCTTACGCCCCCTTGTGGAGTGGGGGTTTTTGTTGTTGTTTTTTTGTAACTGTGGGACACCCCCGTGTCCATGTCCTCTCCCTAGGATGGAAAAAAGGGTCGTGATAGGGGTTTTTGAGTTCTTGATGAAAACAGAGTTCCCTGAGTTTGGGCCCCGGGGCAGAGTGCAGGGGATGTCATTTATCGCCTGTTCGAAGTCATTTGGCGTCAGGATAACATCAGAAGGCTTGTGTTAATCAAATTTTGTCGGCTCTTCTCATAAAAAATTCATTTTGATCTTCGACTCTCAGTCTGGTTAGCGGCTTGCTAAAAACTGGTCATATTGGGACTTGAGTAGCTCACTCTTTCCTGTGTCATCTGTGTAAAAGACCCATCTTGTTTAAGTAGGGGCCCAATACTGGACGTTGTTCTCGATTTTGATTTGGCATTAGGAGAAGAATACTTTGGGTTTTCTTTCGATTTCATTTATGGCTTTTTAGTTCTTCCCGCGATTCCTGTTCCTAAAGGATTCTTTTAGCTTAAGTTCGATGCTTGCTATTTCGTCTGACCAGTGTCTCCTACGCCATTTCAGATATATTGACCTCTTTCTAGCCGTCTCTGTTATTCTTTTCGTCGCCTGTAAAGGGAGCGCCTGTCTTTTCTATTTTACATCTATCCTCTTTTTCTTGAGGAATAAGGCCTGGTGCATCTACATCGAGTGCCACCGAGTTAATCTGTTCTAGCATAGTTGGGGTCTGTGTTGCTTAGGTATCTTCCCAGCTTATATCGGTTAGGACTTGGTTTACTTGGTCCACTTTATGTTTTTGTTATTGAAGTTGATTTGGTGCAATGCTCCTCGTGAATAGTCTCATTTTGTCGGTTCTGGGGTTCCACGCATACATGTCTGAACCTCAATTATGTATGTGATCTGAGTATATTGTTTTTGATATGGAGACATTTCTTATCAGATCATCATTGTTTAGTGAAAAGATGGAGGTCTGTGTATTCTCCAGTATAGTAGGCTCTATTTTTGCTGGTTTAAATTGAATTTGTGCAGGATTTTAAAAGCTCGTGCGAGTGTGAGTGTTCACAGAGCTGCCTCCTGGTGTTATTACTGCAAACAATATTATTTGCTATTATTCCTCCATTTTAGGTGCCTTAAGTGGAAAATCCCCAAGGAGCAAGATTTTGGTGCAGGAGCTGGAAGGATTTTCCAGACAGTGTTCAATTTTTAACAGGTGTTCCTGGGAATGCTTGGGGATGTTGCATCCGGAGGCTTGTAGACTACCACAATGACTAGGTTTAGGGTACTCGGACCTTTTCTGCTAAAACTTACCACTACATCATTTGAGGCATATTAACAGTTCTTGATGCAAACAAACGTGACTCTGCAATGTTACAGGCCACCCCCCCCCTTTTGCTGTTTACTCTGTCACACATCTGTATAGGTTGTAACCTGGGATCCATATTTCGTTGTCCAAGTGATCCTTTATGTTCCCGACTACCTGGACAAAATCTCCAGCTTCACCATTTCTGTCTCCCAGGACAGCATCTCCAGCTTCACCATTACTGTCTCCCAGGACAGCACCTCCAGCTTCACCATTACTGTCTCCCAGGACAGCACTCCGCTCACATTACTGTCTCCCAGGACAGCACCTCCAGCTTCACATTACTGTCTCCCAGGGACGGCACTATCAGCCCCAAATTACTGACTAACAGGGACTTCTCTCCAGCTTACAGTTTTTCTGACTACATGGCCAGTATCAAGGGCAGTACATTCAGCACAGACTTTTTATGTTCCCATCTGTTGTGAAAGCTTCCAGGTTGTATATGAAAGCAGCTTTTGATGTTGTCCGCTTTTAATACCCCTTGTGATTTTAGTCAACAGATTTATCTCAATTGGGCATACCAAATACATTTCCCTGTTTTAACACTGCCTTTGTAGCTAGTTCTTGATATCTGCACAAGGGGCCGTTGACCAACAATTTCCACACAAATGACAATTTATCCATGTGAAGCCCGTTTGTTGACCTGACCACAGGCTACACACAGCTTCATAATGATTTGAATGTTGATTTACTCAATTCTACTAGCAACCTCTTGATATTTCTATTAATACCTCCTTAAATGAAAGCTCTAGCTATTTGTATTTTCTGTTTCTAACTGTTTTTTGTGATATTGGACAGCTTTACCGTGCACGTTCCTGATATATATTTAATGTTTGTGTTTATAAGGGCAGCCACAACCCCATCCGTTTACAGTTGCTTTATTGTCCATACGAAAACCGTTGAAAACCAGTCCAAGGGTTCGGACAGGTCAAGGTTCGGACCAGTCAAGGGTTCGGACCAGTCGATCTGATCTGATCAGTGGGTCGCTCATTTAAAAACATATGGTCCCCCCCCCCCCCCCCCCCCCCCCCGGTGATTTGGGGCTAACACATGAAGGATCTACTGGAATTATTACCCGGTAATATGTGATTTGGATTGATACAAAAGTATACTTTGCGTTTTTGGAAAGAGAACGGTGATTTAGGCAGCTCCTACAATGACGAACGGTCGACCTCAACCCTTGTTTTATCAATCGCTGTATCAACGCCTTTCTATTTTTTTTCCGTTCTCCCCACAATAAATGCTATATTATCACTATAGTGAGCTGGGACTTGTGAAATTTTGGAGGAAGGACGCGTGTTCTGTAGTAAAATTTGCTACTGGTTGTTGTATATTGCGATCGTTGGAAACTACAGGTTATATGGAAATTCAAGTTTCCGTTGGTATTATCAAGAAAAAAGAAACTAATGAAAGTCACTCCACTCACTAAGTACCTTATAATACTGTTAGTTGTACTAAACACTGTATTCTGCTATTCACTTGGTATCATAGATTATATGCGAGTACAACTAGAAGCCAGAAGATTATTAAAAACAGCTGACATTGGGCAAGTTTCTGGCGACTTCTGGCACCAGCCTCTATTAGGCTTACACTTCATTTACAAAATTTCACCTGTTTTCAAATGGACACTTTAGCCTTATCAACAATATACTAGGGAGCCATGTTAGTATACACTATACACTATGTATACTCAATGTTATCAGGGAGACTTTCTTTCCTCTGACACGAAAAGTTCAATTATTATTATTTTTTTCACACGGGACACAGGCCTATGATTCCCCTCTGGCAGTAAACTCTGCTAGGTAGTGCACACTAATTCTCCTTTTTTGACTCAGTATATAATGTTTTCCGCCCAAGATTGGTTCCAGGCGCTAGAGGGATGTATCGTATAGGATTGATGACACAAATTAAAGTTCTAGCACGTAAGAGCGACCGTGAAAACACCAGAAAACCCGGAGCACAACGAGGCACGCTGACACTCTGTCACGCTGACTCCCGAAGGTAGTACAGTTGTTTGGCTTTCTTTATTAATTTGGTGAGAACTGTTGAATATTGTTTAAGAATATCTTTGTGTATTAAGCCCTGTCTATATTGCTTTTCATATCGGTGTTTCTTATCAATGGATTTCAGAATGCTGCTGGTTAGCCATGGGCAACCAAGCCGTTTATTCCTGGACCTGGAGTTTACCTGGAGAGAGTTCCGGGGGTCAACGCCCCCGCGGCCCGGTCTGTGACCAGGCCTCCTGGTGGATCAGAGCCTGATCAACCAGGCTGTTGCTGCTGGCTGCACGCAAACCAACGTACGAGCCACAGCCCGGCTGATCAGGAACTGACTTTAGGTGCTTGTCCAGTGCCAGCTTGAAGACTGCCAGGGGTCTGTTGGTAATCCCCCTTATGTGTGCTGGGAGGCAGTTGAACAGTCTCGGGCCCCTGACACTTATTGTATGGTCTCTTAACGTGCTAGTGACACCCCTGCTTTTCATTGGGGGTGATCTGTTTCGTTTTTATAGGACAATGTTTGTTGTATAGTCTAAGTATTTTGTTAAGAAAAATGTCTGTCCAATCGTCAATAACATTGGCATTGGAGAATTCTGTAGGCCAGTCAAGTCTCTAGGTCTGCTGTGAAATTCCTTATTGAGGCCTCGTCATGGAGTCTAAATGAAACTTTGTTGTATTCGAGTGGTGGGTTGGGTAGTGGTCAGTAGCGCTGTCTGTGATTATCCCATATGTGGTCTATTATGGTTGCACTTGTCTCAGTCAGCCTGGTTGGTTTAGTTATTGTTGGTATGAGAAGTGCGTTGTTCATGTTGTTGATGAAATCAGTTACAGTCTGATCATCTGGTAGGCCAATGTTGATATTGAAGTGTTTGTTCATTTGTCTGTTTGTTATTAGTGACTTTAGATTCTCACTGAAGTTTGGGATGTTTGGTCATAGTTATAACCATTTTATACACCTATACATTTATATACAGACCTGTACACCTCTCAATGCATATATCCAGTGCAAATATATATAAAAAATCGGCATAATTATATCTTATATTTCATCTGATACTTAGTATTCTCTACACTTTTTTTTCTACTTAAAAGACACATTTGTTTCTTTCTAACTTTACTATAATTTCACAAGAAATGTAAGTGAATTAAAACTATATTTAAAACTAGCCACTTTGGTGGCAAAATTACTAAAAAAAAAAATTTCTTGATCACTGGTCTTGCGTTTTCCGTGGATGTTGCCCACACTTCAGTGTTCCAGGAAACAAAAGATACATAGCACTTTAATAATTTAAAAAGACTATATAAAGTAGTTTATGCTAAAATACATATTAAGCAATAAGCTCAATAATGTAAATTAGTCTTTGTCTGATTTTTTGGGTTATCCTAGGTAATTTACACTATGATAACTGAACTTGTGTACCTTAAAATGTCCAATATTAGGTAAACTAGGTGGGTTTATTGGTGCCTGTGATATTTGTAAGATATAAATTGTGTTACAACTATATTTTATACCAGGCTGTGGGTTCTCTTGTGTTACTGACCAGCGTTTATTACAATTGTGTTTGAAAGGAAATATATCTAAACTTTTTTATTGCTCACAGGTGAAGCAATGGCTCGTGGGTCACAAATAGAGGTGTCATCTGCTGTCCTCAAGAGTGGCCAGGTCTCCACTCCTTCCCTGGACGACCATGAAGACGCTATAGTTGTGTTCGACACTGTGGTAGAGTACCTGCCATGCAAGACCAGAACCCGCACTGCTCTCAACGCTGAAGCTCACGTTGAAGACCTCAAAAAACCGTTGTTTGAATCAAAAGATCATCTGGTTTCTGAAGCTAGACCATTCGGTACTCAAACCTCGAGTATCCTTCGCCATCATGAACCGATGGATATTGTCCACAGTTACCACATGACTGTGGAACTAGAGTCTCCTGAGAGCAAGAGTGGACTGCCTCAGGGTAGCTACATTGTACCTGACCAACTAGATCAGGAATCTCCCATAATTTGCATGCTCCGCACTTTTCGGTGCATCAAAGTAGACGAAGATCTACCAGAGAGAGACATGCGGTTCCTTCCCTTGGAGGTCCACCGATCACAGCGTCTAAGACAAGGCTCCAGCAGGCAGCATTCTTTAGGATATATCCCGGTGTCACATGAAGTTACCATTGACTACTGACTGCTCCTTCTTACTATCTTACTAAGTGTCTCGAAGTAAATATACACAGATCTAAATGGATTGCGAAAACGTGCAATTGCATTAAGTTTTATAACCTGCATGAACTGTATCACTGTAGATAAGAGCATTTTACTCTCCATGGAAGATGTGTTCATTTAATATCATATACCTGCAAGTCCCTCCCAAGAAACTCATTGCTAGTAATCCCTCCCTTAAATCACTTATTAAAGCAACTGTTCAAGAAGAAATTTCTCGCCTAGCTGGTAGTAAAAAGTTATCACAAGTTATATACACTGATGGATCTAAACAGTCTTCTGGTAGGGCTGCATCTGCTCATGTTGCCACCTCCTTAGTTAAGAACGATAATAAACTTGTTGAACTCGGCATAAGAATTAACAACTGGGCGTCTACACTGTAAACTGAATTGTTTGCAATCCTAATGGCGCTAAAGCTAACTTATGACACTGAGCTTGACTCTGTCATCATTACTGATTCTATGTCATCATTACTGAGTCTATGTCATCACTGAATGCTCTTAACTCATATAATGACTCCAACAACATGTTCATTGGAGAAGCCAGGTATAGATACTCAAAAATCAGGGACAAAGGAATTAATGTACAATTGTTATGGATTCCATCACACATTGGATTACTTCTTCATGATAAAGTTGATATATTAGCCAAGAAGAGTACCCAGAAGGAGAATGTAAAATATAACTTTGGTATATCTGTGTCTAGCATTAGGAATAATATTAGGAGAGGAGTAAATAATGAAAATGATTGTTATAGGAATGCAGTTAGAAGCCTGGGTAGATCTATAACCCACTATGATAACATGAACATAGATAAGTATGTTTATGGAGCAACTTGCAATGTGAACAGACTGACTGATGTTGTAGTGGCCAGACTTAGGCTTGGTTACAAGTGCTTTTGGCAGTTTGGGAGACACACATTTGATGATCAAACTAAATGCAAATTATGTGATCAGGCATATGGTCACTGTCTTGAACACTATGTGCTTAATTGTCCACTTATTGAGAAATACAGAGATAGACAGTATAATAACCTATATGACATGTCAAGATATCTTATTAATGAAAATAGGATACCAGATATACTAAGCAAATTTCCTAAATTTGCTTGTAACAGATAAGTGAACTGTAGATATAAATCCATATGTACTCCTGTTAACCCTTTGGGGCCTAGTTCCTAGGCCTTTTGTGTATCCAAATGCTCTTGCGCTACCGTGCACAGGATGGATATGGAGTGCACAATAAACTAGCCACTTCGGCGGCAAAATCTAAATCTCCTTCTTACTCTTTCGTCCTTCACCAAAAGTCTACATCTACTGCCCATTTCCATCTTGTAGTAAATAGGTACCTAGGTCGACTGCTGTGGGTCTCATCCTTGGATATGACCCCAATAAAAATAAGCCTCAATACTTGGCTTTGTTGGGTTATCCTAAGTTAATAATACCCTCCCCCATGGTGTGGATGACTCTTAGCCTAGAGTCATCCACACCATCGTGTGTCCTTGGGTAGCGAGTACAACATCAAGTTTATTTGTACTGATAGTACTACCAAAAACATTTAGTTCGCCGACTATATATATATTTTATATATATATATATATATATATATATATATATATATATATATATATATATATATATATATATATATATATATATATATATATATATGTGTGTGTGTGTGTGTGTGTGTGTGTGTGTTAGTGACCATTTTGACCTAGGCACATGTCGATTTGACACTAGGCCTGTTGTATATTTGGGTTTTGGGGTGTGTGTGTGTGTGGTGTGTGTGTGTGTGTGTGTTGTGTGTGTGTGTTCGTGTGTTGTGTGTTCGTGTGTGTGTGTGTGTGTGTGTGTGTTAGTGACCATTTTGACCTAGGCACATGTCGATTTGACACTAGGCCTGTTGTATATGTGTGTGTGTGTGTGTGTGTGTGTGTGTGTGTGTGTGTGTGTGTGTGTGTGTGTGTGTGTGTGTGTGTGTGTGTGTGTGTTCGTGTGTGTGTTCGTGTGTGTGTTCGTGTGTGTGTTGTGTGTGTGTGTGTGTGTGTGTGTGTGTGTGTGTGTGTGTGTGTGTGTGTGTGTGTGTGTGTGTGTGTGTGGTGATTATGTATGATTGAGGTGAAAGTGTTGAATGATGAAAGTATTCAACAAGTCGGCCGTCTCTCACCGAGGCAGGGTGACCCAAAAAGAAAATCCCCAAAAAGAAAATACTTTAATCATCATAATCACTGTCTTTGCAGAGGCGCTCAGATACGACAGTTTAAAAGTCACTCCAAACTGTCAATAGCCCAGACCCCTCCTTTAAAACGGAAACGTTTTAATGTTCTCCCTGATCAGCATGATGACTTTGTTGCACTGGCTGACTGGAAATTATTTTTATTTTTTAAAACCCAAAAAGAAGGCTAACCAAAAGGGCTAAAAACCGCTGAACATGGTTAATTCCTTGAGTGTTCCTCTTTTGAGCCCTTTAACAAGCCCTTTGTGAGCAGTTTAAAATTTTAAAAACCCCCACGGAAAACAGGGAAAATGAAAACCCATCTAGCTTCCTTAATAACTACCTTATAAAACCAAACCTATTCAATTTATTCTATATTTCGAACACTGAAAGTCTGTCGCGCTGGGCCCTACCCTTAGAAACCATCGTGCCCCGGAATGGAGCCTTTTTCAAGCCCCTTTGCTGCTGCCCAGAGAGGTATGACAACTGGGGAAAACAGACTGGGAACAATTTGTCAATGGTCTCAATGCTCACACCCCACTTAACCGGGCATGGAGCGACATAAATAAAATTTAAAGGGGAAAACGGGAACGGGCATATCGCGCACCCTCGTCCCCTTAAAAAAGGGCGAATGGTTAGTCAGTGCTTGGGCTGCTACATTAGCTTGCTTTTCCCAGTACCACACGGGAAAAATTAAAATGACAAATATGATGCAAGGGAGAGTTGTTTGCTTTATGCTCAGCAAGGCAGATGACTGCACTTCCCTTTCACTAATTATGAACTTGAGCGCACAAAGGGCAACTCCAGTCCCCTGGTGAGGATGGAATTATTTACAACTGCTCAGATTGCTGTGTCGATTACCGGGTAATCCATTATTAAATTTATATAATGGCTTGAAAAGGGGGAGCTCCCTAATCTTTGACACAGCCTCATATTCCAATTCCAACCCCAAATCAACAAAATGCATTTCGCCCAATATTCTTACTGGCGGCAAAACGGAGTAAACACCTAAATTATGGGAGCGTTTGGGTTCCTAAACCTGTTTCCCCGGGAACCGGCGGGAGTACATGATTATATACCCCTGGAAAATCCTAGGGGACTGTACCGAACTTGCACACGAAAATCACGGGTTGTAGTAAAATGTGGGGCTGATAGTGTGTCCTGGTGAAGTAATGGTGAAGCTAGGGGTGCTGTCCGGGGACAGTAAGGTGAAGCTGGAGGTCTGCCTGGGGGACGTAATGGTGAAGCTGGAATTTTGCCCAGGTAGTGGGGAAAATTGTACACAGGATGGAATGCATAAAAATTGACCTCATGGGAGACGGACCCGTAGTGGGGAATCAAGTGTAGCAAAGATAAATAAAACCAAAATATCAAATAAAAAATACCACAGGAAATAGCAAAAAGAGGACTCCCTACATAGTGAGGATATATTACCAAAAAAAACTGGTGGCAGCCCCTTTTGTTGGTGCTAGGGGGGTGGGAAATAAGACGGGAAAAAACAGCCCAACGGGGAATACGTCACAAAAACCCAAGGAAACATGCACCAAGGGGGAATCAGTCACAGAAACCCCCAAAGCAAAGGGAAACCAAGCCTGTGCACATACTATGCATTGTATCTGCAGGCAGGGGGAAATCTGAAAACGATGGGAGTGCAAAATGACCATTAGAAAAAGCCGTGCCCATATGACAACAAAAAATGCAAAATCCCTTCCTTAAGCTTTTTCACCCCGAAATGTGTCCCCCTTCAGTGCAGGAAAGACTATGCTATAAATTTTAAATTGCCAGGACACCATCTAAAGGGGGCAAAAAGATACAAAACCCAGGGCCCTGGAAAAACCTGGGTAAGCCCAGCCCCTCAAAAGGGGGGGGGTTTTTAGTGCCAGGGAAAAAAAAAAAAACTGGCAGGGGAAAGGCAGAAATGTACACCAAATCCAGTCATTCCTGGGTGGGGGGCCCAGTCGATTGCCTCCACTCAATACCAAAAATACAGATACTAAGCCGAAAACCCCCCCCCGTACCAACAAAACCAACGTCCATGACATTTTTCTTTGCAAAATATACAGGGTTAAAGCCCGCAAAAACAACAAAATACCTTTCATCCGTGGGCTGTTGCAGAGGCAAAGGCAATGTTTTCGGCTTTCACCGAGACCCACATAAAAGGGTCATTGGGAAACGAAAAAAGGATCCCCGTTTTTCAACCTATCAGATGCGACGAGTGAACAAGCAAAAGGGGGGGGGGGGGTTTGGCCCAAATTGCAGTCACTTGTGTGCAAAGAACTGCTTAATGTCTAAATGATGAGTGGAAGTTTTGGGAGTAAAAATCGAGAAAACCAAAAACCTAGTCATTGGGTAGTCTACAAGCCTCCGGATGAAATCCCAGCAATTCCCGGGCAGCTGTTAAAAAAAATTTACCACAGTCTGGAAAACTGCCAGCTCCTCAAACCCCCCCCTCTTTCTCCGGGGATTTCAACTTAAGGGCCCCAAAATGGGGGTATATGCAAAAATTTGTTTCAGTAAAAAACACCCCGGAGGCAAACTTGATGAAAACCACACTCAAACGAGCTTTTAAATTCTGCACAAAATTCAATTTAAACCAAATAATAGGCCTACTTGGGGGAATACACAGACCTCATCTTACAACAATGATACTGAAAGAAAAGTCACCATATCAAAAAAAATTTACCAGTCAAACATAATTGAGGTTGACATGTATGCGCGAGCCCAAAATGGCAAATGAGATTGCCCCGAGGGGGCATTACCAAATT